CACATTGTTACACTTCACTGAACCTAGAGACAGAGGGAACCAGCAAAGGGACGGTCCTAACGGTGAGGACGTTAATCAAGGCTTAAGGCCTGATCAAGCCACTATTTCTATGTGCTCCACAGTTAATTCGTGTGAAGTGTTGCTTCAAGTCATCCCAGTTCGAGTGATTAGTAAGTCTGGCAACCAGATTACTACCTTTGGTCTACTGGACTCAGGCTCCGACATAACCATGATTGACCCGTCTCTCGTGAAAATGCTGAACATTAAGGGCTCACCAAATAAGCTGTCACTCACGACTGTAAACAATGCCGATGCAGAAGAAGAGGGCCTGAGAGTTGACTTCCAAATTGCTTCAGTAGATAGCGAGAATGACCATCTGATTGATGTCAAATCTGCCTGGGCTGTAAAGGATCTTACAATTCCCCTAAAGCACACAAAGGTGACAAGGTCTGTTGGGCAGTGGCCACATCTGCAGCAAGTGTGCTTCCCGGAAGTAGAGAGAAGTAAGATTTCTATCCTGCTTGGTACAAACATCCAAGAGGTCTTCATACCGCTCGAAGTTAAAAGAGGTAAACCAAATGAGCCGATCGCAATCAAGTCCTGTATTGGTTGGAGTATACTTGGTGGCTGTCCCAGTGTACCTTCTTCCACTCCTGTGCAAGTCAATCTCATTAATGGGGAGGATGTTACCCTAAGTGACCAGCTTGAAGAATTCTGGAGAGTCGAGTCCTATGGTACGAGCAAGTGTGAAACCAAGCCCCTGTCTGTGGAGGATCAAAGAGCTATGAACTTGATGTCCAATTCAATCTGTAAACATGATGGCCATTATGAGATGGGCCTCCTGTGGAAGAGTGACAATCCTGTGCTTCCTTACAACAGAACACTAGCTGAAGCGAGACTGCAACACTTAAAGAGACGCTTCCTTCGAGATCCAGAACTTGAAGTCAAGTATAGAGTTGTGATTGAAGACTGTGTGACCAAAGGATATGCAAGAAAGCTCACAAAGGAGGAAGCAGAAACAGTCAGCAAAACCACATGGTTCCTGCCTCACCACCCAGTAAGCAATCCGAACAAGCCAGGCAAGGTGAGAGTGGTATTTGATGCGGCTGCAAGACTCAGCGGCACATCCCTAAACGAACAGCTAATGCAGGGACCTAATCTGACAAATGACCTATCTGGAGTGTTGATTCGTTTCCGTGAGGAAGAAATTGCCTTCTCAGCGGATATCGAGGGCATGTTTTACCAGACCAGAGTATCCCCAAGTGATACAGATTCTCTGAGGTTCTTGTGGTGGCCTAAAAGTATTGACGAGCTTCCAGAGGAATACAAAATGTTGGTCCATATTTTTGGTGCTAAGTCTTCACCCTGCTGTGCCAACAAGGCGTTAAGCATGACAGCACAAGACAATGAAGAAAATTACCCACCTGAGGTGATCAGAACAGTTCGTAGAAATTTCTATGTGGACGATGTCCTGAAGTCTGTCCCAAATATTGATCAAGCCGTACCTCTGGCCTCAGATCTTATGAAGTTGTTGAGAGAAGGAGGATTCCGTCTAACAAAGTTTGCGAGCAATAGTCGTGAATTGCTAGCCTCAATTCCTCCCGCGTCGAGGGCGAATCCCAAGTTGGACCTAGATCTAGACCAGTTACCCCTAGAGCGAGCGTTGGGTGTCTACTGGGACGCACAGACAGATACCTTTAAGTTCAAGGCCTTAAGAGCGTACAAGCCATCCACCAAGCGAGGAGTGCTTTCCGTCGTAAGCTCCCTGTTTGATCCGTTGGGATTTCTTTCACCCTTTGTGTTCACAGCCAAGATTCTGTTACAAGAGCTGTGGAGGCAGAAGTTGTCTTGGGATCAAGAAATTCCAGAGCCGTATTCGTCCCTCTGGCAGAAGTGGTTGCAAGAGCTGCCGTGTGTTACTACAATCGAGATACCAAGGTGTTACAACGCCCAGTGCCCTAGTGCACAAGCCACTGTGCAGTTGCACAATTTTTCCGATGCGTCAAGGCATGGTTATGCAGCAGTGTCTTACCTACGGTTCATTGACGAGCAAGGAGTGATCCACTGTTCCTTCGTTATGGGGAAGACCAGGAATGCGCCCATCAAAGAGTGGACCATACCTCGCCTAGAACTGCAGGCGACGGTGTTAGCGGTACGGCTAAGTAACTCAATTCTGAAGGAGCTCGATCTGCGAGTAAATGAAATCTTTTTCTGGTCAGACTCGATGACCTCCCTTCAATACATCAAAAACCAAACGAAGCGCTTCCAAACATTTGTTGCAAATCGCGTGGCCGAGATCCATGAATCAACCACCCCAGAACAATGGCATCACGTCCCAGGTACTATGAACCCCGCTGATGAGGGTTCACGAGGCGTCGCCATAAAGCATTTCCAACCCGGATGTCGGTGGTGGTCAGGTCCTTCCTTTCTGTGGCAGCCTGTACAACAGTGGCCTAATGCTCGGGTGGAAGACATTCGAAGTGATGATAAAGAAATACGAAAACCAGCCACAATCATGTTCACCACTGAAACGTCCCAAGTCGATCTCCTACTTAAGCGCTATTCGTCGTGGTCCCGTTTGCTGAGAGTTATGTCGTGGGTGCTTCGCTTTGTCAAGGCACTAAAGAAAGAAAAACCTGAATGTATCGTCGGAGGTACACTTACCCTTGTTCAGCTTCAGCGAGCAAGCGAAGTAATTACGCGACTGGTGCAGCGCCAACATTTCCGTGAAGAGTACATGGCTTTGAAAGAAGGCAGACAGGTGAAATGTAGCAGTAGCTTGGCCACTCTTAGTCCGATCCTAACTGATGGCATTATACGTGTTGGAGGAAGAATTCACCGTGCTCCGATTACCTTTGAAGCCGCCCATCCAGTGATTCTTCCAAAGTCAAGCCCTGTGTCTGTATTGATAGTTCGTTACTACCACCATGTGCTGGGCCATGCAGGCCGTGAACATGTGTTGTCCGTCCTCCGCCAGCGTTACTGGATACTGAGAGGCAGAGCTTTGGTGCGTCAGATCCTGAGCAAGTGTATAAGTTGCCGCAAGCGGAACACGCCTGCCTTACAGCAAGCGATGGCTGACCTGCCAAAGGAAAGGCTGGTACCTTATCATCCCCCGTTCACCTTTACGGGCCTCGACTTCTTTGGCCCCTTCTACGTGAAGCGCGCTCGTAGTGTTATCAAAGTGTATGGTTGCATATTCGTGTGCTTTAACAGCCGAGCAGTCCACATCGAAGATGTTAGTTCCTTAGAAACAGATACGTTTATTTTGGCTCTCCGCCGGTTCATCTCTGTTCGCGGCTGCCCTAAGGAAATCTGGTCAGATAACGGCACGAATTTTGCTGGCGCTGAGAGGGAACTTCGGCGTTCGGTTCGAGAACTAAATGAAGAACAAATCAGGAGAGAGCTACATTCGTACGATGCGGAGTGGTTCAAATATGTGTTGCCAAGGTGGCGTTTCCAACCCCCTACCGCGAGCCACATGTCAGGCGTGTGGGAGAGGCTTATTAGAAGCGTGCGGAAGGCTATGAATGCTGTCTTGAGCAAACCAGGGGCTGCAATCCCTTTGGAAACCCTGCGCACCGTATTCGCCGAAGTCACGTCCATTCTAAACAGTCGTCCCATTTCCCCAGCAAGTGATGATCCAAGTGACATGGAGCCACTCACTCCAAACCACCTACTTCTACAGCGACGAAATCTCGCCATACCCCCCGGTGTCTTCGCCAAGGAAGAGCTGTACTCACGCAAGCAGTGGAGACATGCGCAATTCCTTGCTAACTGTTTTTGGTCGCGATGGGTTCTAGAGTACGTGCCTACCTTACAGCAACGCCACAAGTGGCTACTAAACAAGAGGAATTTGGCAGTGAATGACCTGGTTCTTGTGGTGGACAAAACTGTGCCGAGATCCCGCTGGTTGCTGGGTCGCGTAATGAAAGTGTTTCCTGGTGAAGATTCACGTGTCCGCACCGCCGAAGTGAAGACAAAGGACTCTTCTCTTACTCGTCCTGTGACCAAGCTGTGTATTCTTGAACAAGCTGCGAGACGGCTTTGCCGTAGAGTGCACTGAACGTTGCAAGATTGAACTGAAAACATTGTCGTGAACTAACAGTCGGTTTAGAACTTTAACATTGATTAGTGATTGTCTACGGGGGCTCGTTCAGCCCTACCCCCCGGGATGTTGAGGCCAATCCTCAACAAGAGAACATTTTTTTTGTTTTCCTAGTCCGTTCCATTCCGTTTTTGTAATTTATTCTCCCAGCATGCTTAGTGAGCGCGTCTCAGTGTCGTCGTGGAGCAGGAAAGAAACCATGTGCTTTGTAACGCGCTAGTCGCCGGGAGTTTCTCATTGTATGGTTTTTACTTGCGAGGTAAAGCTTGTTAGCCAAAGATGAGACTCCAAATTCGATCCTGTTGTGTTGTTGAGGAAATATGTCGAGTGTGCAACTCTCGATTATTAAACTTGTGTTCAGGGACCCTTGTGTTGTGAAAGCGCGTTTTGTCCCCTGGACACCGTTGGAAAAATTCTAATTTTGCGTTTTTCGTAAACAGTTGTTTTTATAGTCTTTAAAGGCTTTTTTTTTATCTAGAACGTCAGCAAACACTTTTTCTCGATCTATTTTTGATAAATACAACAGATGAAAAAACTTCAACTTTTTGACCAAAATCATGGACTATCCCCTTTGCAAAAATGTCAATTTTGCCTTCTTTTTAAATCCATGTTTATATTGTCTAGAAAGGCTTGTTTTCTAACGAGAACGTCACCAAATACTTTTTCTGGGTCTATTTTGCATAAAACGAAACGTTCACAAAATTTCAAATTTTTGACCAAAACCATGGACTAACCCCTTTGCAAAAATGCCAATTTTGTGGGTTTTTGAAACCGATGTTTTTTTTTGTTCAGAAAGGCTTGTTTGCTATATAAAACGTCGAAAATCGTTTTTTCACGATCTATTTTCACGATCTATGACATGGGAATACAGGGGGTTACAAGGGGTTACAGGGGGTTACAAGGGGTTACAAGGGGTTACAAGGGGTTACAAGGGGTTACAGGGGGTTACAAGGGGTTACAGGGGGTGACAGGGGGTGACAAGGGGCTACAGGGGGTTGCAAAGGATTATAGAAACTTTTTTCTAACTAGAACGTTCCCAGATGCTTTTTCTTGGTCTATTTTGCATAAAAATCAAAGTTGAAGAAATCTCTAATTTTTGATCAAAACGATGGACTAATCCCATTGGAAAAATTCTAATTTTGCGTTTTTCGCAAACAGTTGTTTTTATAGTCTTTAAAGGCTTCTTTTTTATCTAGAACGTCAGCAAACACTTTTTCTCGATCTATTTTTGATAAATACAAAAGATGAAAAAAAAACTCAACTTTTTGACCAAAATCATGGACTATCCCCTTTGCAAAAATGTCAATTTTGCCTTCTTTTTAAATCCATGTTTATATTGTCTAGAAAGGCTTGTTTTCTAACGAGAACGTCACCAAATACTTTTTCTGGGTCTATTTTGCATAAAACGAAACGTTCACAAAATTTCAAATTTTTGACCAAAACCATGGACTAACCCCTTTGCAAAAATGCCAATTTTGTGGGTTTTTGAAACCGATGTTTTTTTTTTGTTCAGAAAGGCTTGTTTGCTATATAAAACGTCGAAAATCGTTTTTTCACGATCTATTTTCACGATCTATGACATGGGAATACAGGGGGTTACAAGGGGTTACAGGGGGTTACAAGGGGTTACAAGGGGTTACAAGGGGTTACAAGGGGTTACAAGGGGTTACAGGGGGTTACAAGGGGTTACAGGGGGTGACAGGGGGTGACAAGGGGCTACAGGGGGTTGCAAAGGATTATAGAAACTTTTTTCTAACTAGAACGTTCCCAGATGCTTTTTCTTGGTCTATTTTGCATAAAAATCAAAGTTGAAGAAATCTCTAATTTTTTAGCAAAAACGATGGACTAACCCCTTTGGAAAAATTCTAATTTTGCGTTTTTCATAAACAGTTGTTTTTATAGTCTTTAAAGGCTTTTTTTTCATGTAGAAGCTCAGCAAACACTTTTTATCGATCTATTTTTGATAATTACAAAACATAAAAAAAACTTCAACCTTTTGACCAAAATCATGGACTATCCCCTTTGCAAAAATGTTAATTTTGCCTTCTTTTTAAATCCATGTTTATATTGTCTAGAAAGGCTTGTTTTCTAACGAGAACGTCACCAAATACTTTTTCTGGGTCTATTTTGCATAAAACGAAACGTTCACAAAATTTCAAATTTTTGACCAAAACCATGGACTAACCCCTTTGCAAAAATGCCAATTTTGTGGGTTTTTGAAACCGATGTTTTTTTTGTTCAGAAAGGCTTGTTTGCTATATAAAACGTCGAAAATCGTTTTTTCACGATCTATTTTCACGATCTATGACATGGGAATACAGGGGGTTACAAGGGGTTACAGGGGGTTACAGGGGGTTACAAGGGGTTACAAGGGGTTACAAGGGGTTACAGGGGGTTACAAGGGGTTACAGGGGGTGACAGGGGGTGACAAGGGGCTACAGGGGGTTGCAAAGGATTATAGAAACTTTTTTCTAACTAGAACGTTCCCAGATGCTTTTTCTTGGTCTATTTTGCATAAAAATCAAAGTTGAAGAAATCTCTAATTTTTGATCAAAACGATGGACTAATCCCATTGGAAAAATTCTAATTTTGCGTTTTTCGCAAACAGTTGTTTTTATAGTCTTTAAAGGCTTCTTTTTTATCTAGAACGTCAGCAAACACTTTTTCTCGATCTATTTTTGATAAATACAAAAGATGAAAAAACTTCAACTTTTTGACCAAAATCATGGACTATCCCCTTTGCAAAAATGTCAATTTTGCCTTCTTTTTAAATCCATGTTTATATTGTCTAGAAAGGCTTGTTTTCTAACGAGAACGTCACCAAATACTTTTTCTGGGTCTATTTTGCATAAAACGAAACGTTCACAAAATTTCAAATTTTTGACCAAAACCATGGACTAACCCCTTTGCAAAAATGCCAATTTTGTGGGTTTTTGAAACCGATGTTTTTTTTTTGTTCAGAAAGGCTTGTTTGCTATATAAAACGTCGAAAATCGTTTTTTCACGATCTATTTTCACGATCTATGACATGGGAATACAGGGGGTTACAAGGGGTTACAGGGGGTTACAAGGGGTTACAAGGGGTTACAAGGGGTTACAAGGGGTTACAGGGGGTTACAAGGGGTTACAGGGGGTGACAGGGGGTGACAAGGGGCTACAGGGGGTTGCAAAGGATTATAGAAACTTTTTTCTAACTAGAACGTTCCCAGATGCTTTTTCTTGGTCTATTTTGCATAAAAATCAAAGTTGAAGAAATCTCTAATTTTTGATCAAAACGATGGACTAATCCCATTGGAAAAATTCTAATTTTGCGTTTTTCGCAAACAGTTGTTTTATAGTCTTTAAAGGCTTCTTTTTTATCTAGAACGTCAGCAAACACTTTTTCTCGATCTATTTTTGATAAATACAAAAGATGAAAAAACTTCAACTTTTTGACCAAAATCATGGACTATCCCCTTTGCAAAAATGTCAATTTTGCCTTCTTTTTAAATCCATGTTTATATTGTCTAGAAAGGCTTGTTTTCTAACGAGAACGTCACCAAATACTTTTTCTGGGTCTATTTTGCATAAAACGAAACGTTCACAAAATTTCAAATTTTTGACCAAAACCATGGACTAACCCCTTTGCAAAAATGCCAATTTTGTGGGTTTTTGAAACCGATGTTTTTTTTTTTTGTTCAGAAAGGCTTGTTTGCTATATAAAACGTCGAAAATCGTTTTTTCACGATCTATTTTCACGATCTATGACATGGGAATACAGGGGGGGGGTTACAAGGGGTTACAGGGGGGTTACAAGGGGTTACAAGGGGTTACAAGGGGTTACAAGGGGTTACAGGGGGGTTACAAGGGGTTACAGGGGTGACAGGGGGACAAGGGTGACAAGGGGGGTGACAGGGGGGCTACAGGGGTTGCAAAGGATTATAGAAACTTTTTTCTAACTAGAACGTTCCCAGATGCTTTTTCTTGGTCTATTTTGCATAAAAATCAAAGTTGAAGAAATCTCTAATTTTTGATCAAAACGATGGACTAATCCCATTGGAAAAATTCTAATTTTGCGTTTTTCGCAAACAGTTGTTTTATAGTCTTTAAAGGCTTCTTTTTATCTAGAACGTCAGCAAACACTTTTTCTCGATCTATTTTTGATAAATACAAAAGATGAAAAAACTTCAACTTTTTGACCAAAATCATGGACTATCCCCTTTGCAAAAATGTCAATTTTGCCTTCTTTTTTTAAATCCATGTTTATATTGTCTAGAAAGGCTTGTTTTCTAACGAGAACGTCACCAAATACTTTTTCTGGGTCTATTTTGCATAAAACGAAACGTTCACAAAATTTCAAATTTTTGACCAAAACCATGGACTAACCCCTTTGCAAAAATGCCAATTTTGTGGGTTTTTGAAACCGATGTTTTTTTTTTGTTCAGAAAGGCTTGTTTGCTATATAAAACGTCGAAAATCGTTTTTTCACGATCTATTTTCACGATCTATGACATGGGAATACAGGGGGTTACAACAAGGGGTTACAAGGGGTTACAAGGGGTTACAAGGGGTTACAAGGGGTTACAAGGGGTTACAAGGGGTTACAGGGGTTACAGGGGTGACAGGGGGTGACAAGGGGGGACAAGGGGACTACAGGGGGGGTTGCAAAGGATTATAGAAACTTTTTTCTAACTAGAACGTTCCCAGATACTTTTTCTTGGTCTATTTTGCATAAAAATCAAAGTTGAAGAAATCTCTAATTTTTGATCAAAACGATGGACTAACCCCTTTGGAAAAATTCTAATTTTGCGTTTTTCGTAAACAGTTGTTTTTATAGTCTTTAAAGGCTTCTTTTTTATATAGAACGTCAGCAAATACTTTTTCTCGATCTATTTTTGATAAATAAAAAAGATGAAAAAACTTCAACTTTTTTAACCAAAATCATGGACTATCCCCTTTGCAAAAATGCCAGTTTTGCCTTCTTTTTAAATCCTTGTTTATATTGTCTAGAAAGGCTTGTTTTCTAAGGAGAACGTCACCAAATACTTTTCCTGGGTGTATTTTGCATAAAACGAAACGTTCACAAAATTTTAAATTTTTGGCCAAAACCATGGACTAACCCCTTTGCAAAAATGCCAATTTTGTGGGTTTTTGAAACCGATGTTTTTTTTGTTCAGAAAGGCTTGTTTGCTATATAAAACGTCGAAAATCGTTTTTTCACGATCTATTTTCACGATCTATGACATGGGAATACAGGGGGTTACAAGGGGTTACAGGGGGTTACAAGGGGTTACAAGGGGTTACAGAAGGTTACAAGGGGTTACAAGGGGTGACAGGGGGTGACAAGGGGCTACAGGGGGTTGCAAAGGATTATAGAAACTTTTTTCTAACTAGAACGTTCCCAGATGCTTTTTCTTGGTCTATTTTGCATAAAAATCAAAGTTGAAGAAATCTCTAATTTTTGATCAAAACGATGGACTAATCCCATTGGAAAAATTCTAATTTTGCGTTTTTCGCAAACAGTTGTTTTTATAGTCTTTAAAGGCTTCTTTTTTATCTAGAACGTCAGCAAACACTTTTTCTCGATCTATTTTTGATAAATACAAAAGATGAAAAAACTTCAACTTTTGACCAAAATCATGGACTATCCCCTTTGCAAAAATGTCAATTTTGCCTTCTTTTTAAATCCATGTTTATATTGTCTAGAAAGGCTTGTTTTCTAACGAGAACGTCACCAAATACTTTTTCTGGGTCTATTTTGCATAAAACGAAACGTTCACAAAATTTCAAATTTTTGACCAAAACCATGGACTAACCCTTTGCAAAAAATGCCAATTTTGTGGGTTTTTGAAACCGATGTTTTTTTTTTTCAGAAAGGCTTGTTTGCTATATAAAACGTCGAAAATCGTTTTTTCACGATCTATTTTCACGATCTATGACATGGGAATACAGGGGTTACAAGGGGTTACAGGGGTTACAAGGGGGGTACAAGGGGTTACAAGGGGTTACAAGGGGTTACAGGGGTTACAAGGGGTTACAGGGGGGTGACAGGGGGGTGACAAGGGGGGCTAGGGGTTGCAAAGGATTATAGAAACTTTTTCTAACTAGAACGTTCCCAGATGCTTTTTCTTGGTCTATTTTGCATAAAAATCAAAGTTGAAGAAATCTCTAATTTTTGATCAAAACGATGGACTAATCCCATTGGAAAAATTCTAATTTTGCGTTTTTCGCAAACAGTTGTTTTTATAGTCTTTAAAGGCTTCTTTTTTATCTAGAACGTCAGCAAACACTTTTTCTCGATCTATTTTTGATAAATACAAAAGATGAAAAAACTTCAACTTTTTGACCAAAATCATGGACTATCCCCTTTGCAAAAATGTCAATTTTGCCTTCTTTTTAAATCCATGTTTATATTGTCTAGAAAGGCTTGTTTTCTAACGAGAACGTCACCAAATACTTTTTCTGGGTCTATTTTGCATAAAACGAAACGTTCACAAAATTTCAAATTTTTGACCAAAACCATGGACTAACCCCTTTGCAAAAATGCCAATTTTGTGGGTTTTTGAAACCGATGTTTTTTTTGTTCAGAAAGGCTTGTTTGCTATATAAAACGTCGAAAATCGTTTTTTCACGATCTATTTTCACGATCTATGACATGGGAATACAGGGGGTTACAAGGGGTTACAGGGGGTTACAAGGGGTTACAAGGGGTTACAAGGGGTTACAAGGGGTGACAGGGGGTGACAAGGGGTTACAGGGGGTTGCAAAGGATTATAGAAACTTTTTTCTAACTAGAACGTTCCCAGATTCTTTTTCTTGGTCTATTTTGCATAAAAATCAAAGTTGAAGAGATCTCTAATTTTTGATCAAAACGATGGACTAATCCCATTGGAAAAATTCTAATTTTGCGTTTTTCGTAAACAGTTGTTCTTATAGTCTTTAAAGGCTTCTTTTTTATCTAGAACGTCAGCAAACACTTTTTCTCGATCTATTTTTGATAAATACAAAAGATGAAAAACCTTCAACTTTTTTACCAAAATAATGGACTATCCCCTTTGCAAAAATGTCAATTTTGCCTTCTTTTTAAATCCATGTTTATATTGTCTAGAAAGGCTTGTTTTCTAACGAGAACGTCACCAAATACTTTTTCTGGGTCTATTTTGCATAAAACGAAACGTTCACAAAATTTCAAATTTTTGACCAAAACCATGGACTAACCCCTTTGCAAAAATGCCAATTTTGTGGGTTTTTGAAACCGATGTTTTTTTTGTTCAGAAAGGCTTGTTTGCTATATAAAACGTCGAAAATCGTTTTTTCACGATCTATTTTCACGATCTATGACATGGGAATACAGGGGGTTACAAGGGGTTACAAGGGGTTACAAGGGGTTACAGGGGGTTACAAGGGGTTACAAGGGGTGACAGGGGGTGACAAGTGGTTACAGGGGGTTGCAAAGGATTATAGAAACTTTTTTCTAACTAGAACGTTCCCAGATGCTTTTTTTTGGTCTATTTTGCATAAAAATCAAAGTTGAAGAAATCTCTAATTTTTGATCAAAACGATGGACTAATCCCTTTGGAAAAATTCTAATTTTGCGTTTTTCTTAAACAGTTGTTCTTATAGTCTTTAAAGGCTTCTTTTTTATCTAGAACGTCAGCAAACACTTTTTCTCGATCTATTTTTGATAAATACAAAAGATGAAAAAACTTCAACTTTTTGACCAAAATCATGGACTATCCCCTTTGCAAAAATGTCAATTTTGCCTTCTTTTTAAATCCATGTTTATATTGTCTAGAAAGGCTTGTTTTCTAACGAGAACGTCACCAAATACTTTTTCTGGGTCTATTTTGCATAAAACGAAACGTTCACAAAATTTCAAATTTTTGACCAAAACCATGGACTAACCCCTTTGCAAAAATGCCAATTTTGTGGGTTTTTGAAACCGATGTTTTTTTTGTTCAGAAAGGCTTGTTTGCTATATAAAACGTCGAAAATCGTTTTTTCACGATCTATTTTCACGATCTATGACATGGGAATACAGGGGTTACAAGGGGTTACAAGGGTTACAAGGGGTTACAAGGGGTTACAAGGGGGGTTACAAGGGGTTACAAGGGGTTACAGGGGTGACAAGGGTGACAAGGGGTTACAGGGGGGGGTTGCAAAGGATTATAGAAACTTTTTTCTAACTAGAACGTTCCCAGATGCTTTTTTTTGGTCTATTTTGCATAAAAATCAAAGTTGAAGAAATCTCTAATTTTTGATCAAAACGATGGACTAATCCCATTGGAAAAATTCTAATTTTGCGTTTTTCGTAAACAGTTGTTCTTATAGTCTTTAAAGGCTTCTTTTTTATCTAGAACGTCAGCAAACACTTTTTCTCGATCTATTTTTGATAAATACAAAAGATGAAAAAACTTCAACTTTTTGACCAAAATCATGGACTATCCCCTTTGCAAAAATGTCAATTTTGCCTTCTTTTTAAATCCATGTTTATATTGTCTAGAAAGGCTTGTTTTCTAACGAGAACGTCACCAAATACTTTTTCTGGGTGTATTTTGCATAAAACGAAACGTTAACAAAATTTCCAATTTTTGACCAAAACCATGGACTAACCCCCTTTGCAAAAATGCCAATTTTGTGGGTTTTTGAAACCAATGTTTTTTTGTTCAGGAAGGCTTGTTTGCTATATAAAACGTCGAAAATCGTTTTTTCACGGTCTATTTTCACGATCTATGACATGGGAATACAGGGGGTTACAAGGGGTTACAGGGGGTTACAAGGGGTTACAAGGGGTTGCAAGGGGTTACAAGGGTTACAGGGGTTACAAAGGGGTTACAGGGGTGACAGGGGGGGGTGACAAGGGGCTACAGGGGTTGCAAAGGATTATAGAAACTTTTTTCTAACTAGAACGTTCCCAGATGCTTTTTCTTGGTCTATTTTGCATAAAAATCAAAGTTGAAGAAATCTCTAATTTTTGATCAAAACGATGGACTAATCCCATTGGAAAAATTCTAATTTTGCGTTTTTCGCAAACAGTTGTTTTATAGTCTTTAAAGGCTTCTTTTTTTGTCTAGAACGTCAGCAAACACTTTTTCTCGATCTATTTTTGATAAATACAAAAGATGAAAAAAACTTCAACTTTTGACCAAAATCATGGACTATCCCTTTGCAAAAATGTCAATTTTGCCTTCTTTTTAAATCCATGTTTATATTGTCTAGAAAGGCTTGTTTTCTAACGAGAACGTCACCAAATACTTTTTCTGGGTCTATTTTGCATAAAACGAAACGTTCACAAAATTTCAAATTTTTGACCAAAACCATGGACTAACCCTTTGCAAAAATGCCAATTTTGTGGGTTTTTGAAACCGATGTTTTTTTTTTTGTTCAGAAAGGCTTGTTTGCTATATAAAACGTCGAAAATCGTTTTTTTTTACAATCTATTTTCACGATCTATGACATGGGAATACAGGGGTTACCAGGGGTTACAGGGGGTTACAAGGGGTTACAAAGGGGGTTACAAGGGGTTACAAGGGGTTACAGGGGTTACAAGGGGTTACAGGGGGTGACAGGGGGTGACAAGGGGTTACAGGGGTTGCAAAGGATTATAGAAACTTTTTTCTAACTAGAACGTTCCCAGATACTTTTTCTTGCTCTATTTTGCATAAAAATCAAAGTTGAAGAAATTTCTAATTTTTGATCAAAACGACGGACTAACCCCTTTCGAAAAATCCTAATTTTGCGTTTTTCGTAAACAATTGTTTTTATGGTCTGTAAAGGCTTCTTTTTTATCTAGAACGTCAGCAAACACTTTTTGTCGATCTATTTTTGATAAATACAAAAGATGAAAAATCTCAACTTTTTGACCAAAATCATGGACTATCCCCTTTGCAAAAATGCCAATTTTGCCTTCTTTTTAAATCCATGTTTATATTGTCTAGAAAGGCTTGTTTTCTAACGAGAACGTCACCAAATACTTTTTCTGGGTGTATTTTGCATAAAACGAAACGTTCACAAAATTTCAAATTTTTGACCAAAACCATGGATTAATTCCTTTGCAAAAATGCCAATTTTGTGGGTTTTTAAAACCGATGTTGTTTTTTGTTCAGAAAGGCTTGTTTGCTATATAAAACTTCGAAAATCATTTTTTGGACGATTTATTTTCACGATCTAAGACATGGGAATACAGGGGGCTATCAGGAGTTACAAGGGGTTACTAAGGGGGGGGTTACAACAAACAAAGGGGTTACAAGGGTGACAGGGGGTGACAAGGGGCTACATGGGGTTGCAAAGGATTATAGAAACCTTTTTCTAACTAGAACGTTCCCAGATACTTTTTCTTGGTCTATTTTGCATTAAAATCAAAGTTGAAGAAATCTCTAATTTTTGATCAAAACGACGGACTTAGCCCTTTGGAAAAATTATAATTTTGCGTTTTTTGTAAACAGTTGTTTTTATAGTCTTTAAAGGCTTCTTTTTTATCTAGAACGTCAGCAAACACTTTTTCTTGATCTATTTTTGATAAATACAAAAGATGAAAAAACTTCAACTTTTTCACCAAAATCATGGACTATCCCCTTTGCAAAAATGCCAATTTTGCCTTCTTTTTAAATCCATGTTTATATTGTCTAGAAAGGCTGGTTTTGTAACGAGAACGTCACCAAATACTTTTTCTGGGTGTATTTTGCATAAAACGAAACGTTCACAAAATTTCAAATTTTTGACCAAAACCATGGATTAATTCCTTTGGAAAAGTGCCAATTTTGTGGGTTTTTGAAACCGATGTTTTTTCTGTTCAGAAAGGCTTGTTTGCTATACAAAACGTCGAAAATCGTTTTTTGCCGATTTATTTTCACAATCTATGACATGGGAATACAGGGGGTTACAAGGGGTTACAGGGGGTTACAAGGGGTTACAAGGGGTTACACAGGGTTACAAGGGGTTACAAGGGATTACAAGGGGTGACAGGGGGTGACAAGGGGTTACAGGGGGTTACAAAGGATTATAGAAACCTTTTTCTAACTAGAACGTTCCCAGATACTTTTTCTTGCTCTATTTTGCATAAAAATCAAATTTATAGAAATCTCTAATTTTTGATCAAAACGACGGACGAACCCCTTTGGAAAAATTTGAATTTTGCGTTTTTCGTAAACAGTTGTTTTTGTAGTCTTTAAAGGCTTCTTTTTTATCTAGAACGTCAGCAAACACTTTTTCTCGATCCAGTTTTGATAAATACAAAAGATGAAAAAACTTCAACTTTTTGACCAAAATCATGGACTATCCCCTTTGCAAAAATGCCAATTTTGCCTTCTTTTTAAATCCATGTTTATATTGTGTAGAAAGGCTTGTTTTCTAACGAGAACGTCACCAAATACTTTTTCTGGGTGTATTTTGCATAAAACCAAACGTTCAAGACATTTCAAATTTTTGACCAAAACCATGGACTAACCCCTTTGCAAAAATGCCAATTTTGTGGGTTTTTGAAACCGATATTTTTTTTGTTCAGAAAGGCTTGTTTGCTATATAAAACGTCGAAAATCGTTTTTTGACAATTTATTTTAACGATCTATGACATGGGAATACAGGGGGTTACAAGGGGTTACAGGGGGTTACAAGGGGTTACAAGGGGTTACACGGGGTTACAAGGGGTTACAAGGGATTACAAGGGGTGACAGGGGGTGACAAGGGGTTACAGGGGGTTACAAAGGATTATAGAAACCTTTTTCTAACTAGAACGTTCCCAGATACTTTTTCTTGCTCTATTTTGCATAAAAATCAAATTTATAGAAATCTCTAATTTTTGATCAAAACGACGGACTAACCCCTTTGGAAAAATTCGAATTTTGCGTTTTTCGTAAACAGTTGTTTTTGTAGTCTTTAAAGGCTTCTTTTTTATCTAGAACGTCAGCAAACACTTTTTCTCGATCTATTTTTGATAAATACAAAAGATGAAAAAACTTCAACTTTTTCACCAAAATCATGGACTATCCCCTTTGCAAAAATGCCAATTTTGCCTTCTTTTTAAATCCATGTTTATATTGTCTAGAAAGGCTTGTTTTCTAACGAGAACGTCACCAAATACTTTTGCTGGGTGTATTTTGCATAAAACGAAAAGTTCACAACATTTCAAATTTTTGACCAAAACCATGGATTAATTCCTTTGCAAAAATGCGAATTTTGTGGGTTTTTAAAACCGATGTTTTTTTTGTTCAGAAAGCCTTGTTTGCTATATAAAACGTCGAAAATCGTTTTTTGACAATTTATTTTAACGATCTATTACATGGGAATACAGGGGGTTACAAGGGATTACACGGGGTTACAAGGGGTTACAAGGGATTACAAGGGGTGACATGGGGGTAACAAGGGGTTACAGGGGGTTACAAAGGATTATAGAAACCTTTTTCTAACTAGAAAGTTCCAGATACTTTTTCTTGCTCTCTTTTGCATAAAAATCAAAGTTGAAGAAGTCTCTAATTTTTGATCAAAACGACGGACTAACCCCTTTGGAAAAATTCTAATTTTGCGTTTTTCGTAAACAGTTGTTTTTATGGTCTGTAAAGGCTTCTTTTTTATCTAGAACGTCAGCAAACACTTTTTCTCGATCTATTTTTGATAAATACAAAAGATGAAAAACTTCAACTTTTTGACCAAAATCACGGACTATCCCCTTTGCAAAAATGCTTATTTTGCCTTCTTTTTAAATCCATGTTTATATTGTCTAGAAAGGCTTGTTTTCTAACGAGAACGTCACCAAATACTTTTTCTGGGTGTATTTTGCATAAAACGAAACGTTCACAAAATTTCAAATTTTTGACCAAAACCATGGATTAATTCCTTTGCAAAAATGCCAATTTTGTGGGTTTTTAAAACCGATGTTTTTTTTGTTCAGAAAGGCTTGTTTGCTATATAAAACGTCAAAAATCATTTATGGACGATCTATTTTCACGATCTATGACATGGGAATACAGGGGGTTACAAGGGGTTACAAGGGGTTACTAGGGGTTACACGGGGTTACAAGGGGTTACAAGAGGTGACAGGGGGTGACAAGGGGTTACAGGGGGTTACAAAGGATTATAGAAACCTTTTTCTAACTAGAACGTTCCCAGATACTTTTTCTTGGTCTATTTTGCATAAAAATCAAATTTGAAGAAATCTCTAATTTTTGATCAAAACGACGGACTAACCCCTTTGGAAAAATTCGAATTTTGCGTTTTTCGTAAACAGTTGTTTTTATAGTCTTTAAAGGCTTCTTTTTTTGTCTAGAAAGTCACCAAGTACTTTTTCTGGGTGTATTTTGCATAAAACGAACATTCACAAAATTTCAAATTTTTGACCAAAACCATGGACTAACCCCTTTGCAAAAATGCGAATTTTGTGGGTTTTTAAAACCGATGTTTTTTTTGTTCAGAAAGCCTTGTTTGCTATATAAAACGTCGAAAATCGTTTTTTGACAATTTATTTTAACGATCTATTACATGGGAATACAGGGGGTTACCAGGGATTACAGGGGGTTACAAGGGGTTACAAGGGGTTACACGGGGTTACAAGGGGTGACATGGGGGTGAAGGGGGGGTTACAGGGGGTTACAAAGGATTATTGAAACTTTTTTCTAACTTCAAAGTTCCAGATACTTTTTTTTGCTTATTTTGCATAAAAATCAAAGTTGAAGAAATCTCTAATTTTTGATCAAAACGACGGACTAACCCCTTTGGAAAAGTTCTAATTTTGCGTTTTTCGTAAACAGTTGTTTTTATGGTCTTTAAAGGCTTCTTTTTTATCTAGAACGTCAGCAAACACTTTTTCTCGATCTATTTTTGATAAATACGAAAGATGAAAAACTTCAACTTTTTGACCAAAATCACGGACTATCCCCTTTGCAAAAATGCTTATTTTGCCTTCTTTTTAAATCCATGTTTATATTGTCTAGAAAGGCTTGTTTTCTAACGAGAACGTCACCAAATACTTTTTCTGGGTGTATTTTGCATACAACGAAACGTTCACAAAATTTCAAATTTTTGACCAAAACCATGGATTAATTCCTTTGCAAAAATGCCAATTTTGTGGGTTTTTTAAACCGATGTTGTTTTTTGTTCAGAAAGGCTTGTTTGCTATATAAAACGTCGAAAATCATTTTTTGGACGATTTATTTTCACGATCTAAGACATGGGAATACAGGGGGTTACCAGGGGTTACAAGGGGTCACTAGGGGTTACACGGGGTTACAAGGAGTTACAAGGGGTGACAGGGGGTGACAAGGGGTTACATGGGGTTACAAAGGATTGTATATAGAAACCTTTTTCTAACTAGAACGTTCCCAGATACTTTTTCTTGGTCTATTTTGCATTAAAATCAAAGTTGAAGAAATCTCTAATTTTTGATCAAAACGACGGACTTAGCCCTTTGGAAAAATTCTAATTTTGCGTTTTTCGTAAACAGTTGTTTTTATAGTCTTTAAAGGCTTCTTTTTTATCTAGAACGTCAGCAAACACTTTTTCTCGATCTATTTTTGATAAATACAAAAGATGAAAAAACTTCAACTTTTTGACCAAAATCACCGACTATCCCCTTTGCAAAAATGCCAATTTTGCTTTCTTTTTAAATCCATGTTTATATTGTTTAGAAAGGCTTGTTTTCTAACGAGAACGTCACAAAATACTTTTTCTGGGTGTATTTTGCATAAAACGAAACGTTCACAAAATTTCAAAATTTTGACCAAAACCATGGACTAACCCCTTTGCAAAAATGCCAATTTTGTGGGTTTTTAAAACCGATGTTTTTGTTTTGTTCAGAAAGGCTTGTTTGTTATATAAAACGTCGAAAATCGTTTTTTGACAATTTATTTTAACGATCTATGACATGGGAATACAGGGGGTTACAAGGGATTACAGGGAGTTACAAGGGGTTACAAGGGGTTACACGGGGTTACAATGGGTTACAAGGGATTACAGGGGGTGACATGGGGGTGACAAGGGGTTACAGGGGGTTACAAAGGATTATAGAAATTTTTTTCTAATTAGAAAGTTCCAGATACTTTTTCTTGCTCTATTTTGCATAAAAATCAAAGTTGAAGAAATCTCTAATTTTTGATCAAAACTACGGACTAACCGCTGTGGAAAAATTCGAATTTTGCGTTTTTCGTAAACAGTTGTTTTTATGGTCTGTAAAGGCTTCTTTCTTATCTAGAACGTCAGCAAACACTTTTTCTCGATCTATGTTTGATAAATACAAAAGATGAAAAAACTTCAACTTTTTGACCAAAATCATGGACTATCCTCTTTGCAAAAATGCAAATTTTGCCTTCTTTTTAAATCCATGTTGATATTGTCTAGAAAGGCTTGTTTTCTAACGAGAACGTCACCAAATACTTTTCCTGGGTGTATTTTGGGTAAAACAAAACGTTCCCAAAATTTGAAATTTTTGACCAAAACCATGGACTAACCCCTTTGCCAAAATGCTAATTTTGTGGGTTTTTGAAACCGATGTTTTTTTGGTTCAGAAAGGCCTGTTTGCTATATAAAACGTCGAAAATCATTTTTTGACGATTTATTTTTACGATCTATGACATGGGAATACAGGGGGTTTCAAGGGGTTACAAGGGGTTGCAAGGGTTGACAGGGGGTGACAAGGGGTTGCAGGGGGTTACAAAGGATTATAGAAACCTTTTCCTAACTAGAACGTTCCCAGATACTTTTTCTTGGTCTATTTTGCATAAAAATCAAAGTTGAAGAAATCTCTAATTTTTGATCAAAACGATGGAATAAGCCCTTTGGAAATATTCTAATTTTGCGTTTTTCGTAAACAGTTGTTTTTATAGTCTTTAAAGGCTTCTTTTTTATCTAGAACGTCAGCAAACCCTTTTTGTCGATCTATGTTTGATAAATACAAAAGATGAAAAAACTTCAACTTTTTGACCAAAATCACGGACTATCCCCTTTGCAAAAATGCCAATTTTGCCTTCTTTTTAAATCCATGTTTATATTGTGTAGAAAGGCTTGTTTTCTAACGAGAACGTCACCAAATACTTTTTCTGGGTGTATTTTGCATAAAACCAAACGTTCACAAAATTTTAAATTTTTGACCAAAACCATGGACTAATCCCTTTGCAAAAATGCCAATTTTGTGGGTTTTTGAAACCGATGTTTTTTTTGTTCAGAAAGGCTTGTTTTCTATATAAAACGTCGAAAATCGTTTTTTGACGATTTATTTTCAGGATCTATGACATGGGAATACAGGGGGTTACAAGGGGTTACAGGGGGTTACAAGGGGTTACAAGGGGTTACAGGGGGTTAAGGGGGTTACAAAGGGTGACAGGGGGTGACAAGGGGTTACAGGGGGTTACAAAAGATTATAGAGACCTTTTTCTAACTAGAACGTTCCCAGATACTTTTTCTTGGTCTGTTTTGCATAAAAATGAAAGTTGAAGAAATCTCTAATTTTTGATCAAAACGATGGACTAAG